CCTCTGTTGCTGTCGACAGTCTAAAAAATAAAAAGAGCTTTGAAGAATCTTCAGCTTATGTAAAAACCATAACTGATGACCTTCACAAACTGCAGTTGCACATTCACCCCGAGGTTCCTAAAGCTCGTCTCAGAGTCTTCTGGATGATAAACCTTCAGAGTTCGCAGCGGTTAACGGCAGAAAGGTTTATGCAACGCCACAAGGTTAATGGACCACTTGGACTGTCTTTATTACAGCACTGGAAAGCCCTGGCTGCAATTAACATGTCACACACACACACACATGCACACACTCTCACACTCACACACACAGGCTCTCTTGTTTTGTTGTGGTGTTATTTTCTGGGCGGTCTGACTGTCAGTAGCTGTTATCTGTGGCTGCTGCAGCTGGAGCCTCGCTGGCAGGAAAACAATAAACGCACACATTTAAAAAAAGACAGAAAGAGAATCTGAAACGGGCATTTGGAAACTTCTTTACATAATTAAACAAATCTGATCTGCATGGTTGGTATTGGGCTAAAGGGGCATTCCAGCCACTTAGCACTGTACTTCCATAGTTGGGGGGGCTTTGTGAGAAACAGATTTGAACAAACATTTTCAAAATTGAAACAGAAAAGGCTGAAATACGCTGACATGTAGTCTGTTATATGAGTCAAGCTCCATAAATGCAGGAATTTTCTCATTTCCATAATGCAACTGATTCTGAATAACATCTTTTCATTAGCCCCCTCTCTGCTTGGTAAATGCCCACAAACCCCTCACCCTCCATTTGTCGTGCAACTTCCCTCAATGTTGATTTGATTATGTCACGGTGGATCTTATCAAGGTTTGTTTGGAGGAATACATTTGAGAATCTGCAGTGGGCTAAATCAGGGTCTGTTTTGTTTTAGACAATTACTCTAAAAGATTCATATTCTAAAGGCTTTCTAAAGGCCTCCTCGTTATCAAAACATGAAGGTTGAGACCGACTGTGATGCAGATTTCAGATGCACCAACTGCTTCCAGTCGCTGTGAATGAGAAACAGGTGTTCAGTGCACAGCCATAAGATTTAGACGACATCTTTTTATCACATGCACAAAGAAATGATGGAAGCCCAGATGCCTTTTCACAATAGCAGCACTTTAATGGTGCGGCACGCCTACGAATGGTAAAGTGACAGACTATAAAACCTTTGCCCTTTTGTTTTTATCCTCACTGAAACTGCTCTTTGAAACAATCCACTTACCCACCTACTAATTATAGATGATATACTTAAAGGCCCTACAAGGAACGCACGCTGTATACAGACATGTTTATATATTGTACATAACCACCCACTTGATCTATGTAAAGTAATTAATCATTTAATATTTATTCATTTGTATTATTATTTACACAAACACTTGACTTGTATATAGACTTTGTATGTGGTTAGTCATTGTTGCTTTGTGTATATAATAATAATCATCATCATAATAATAATAATAAACTTAATATATATATAAAGCACCTTTAAAAGCCAGAGTTACAAGGTACTTCACAACATGTAATGCAATACATTACAATACCAATACCCTAAAATACCCAGAAAATAATAAAATGTATATAAAAGTATAGTACTTATATGTATGTATGAAATGTTTATTTTACCAATCTTTGTTCAGCTTTGTTTTTAGCTTTATGTTTGTTTCTATCTTCCTGTAAATGAGTCAGACTCCTTGTATGAGTTCATATAGTTGGACAAAAAGCTGATTCTGTTTCTGAAAATGTGATTTTTTTTTTGCTCTCTCCCTCAGCTGCTGTGGAACTACAAACTCAATCTGACCACAGACCCAAAGTTCGAGTCTGTGGCCACGGAGGTCTGCAAGAGCACCATCGCTGAGGTCAGTCTGCACCGCGGGAGGCTCAGGGTTCAGCTTCCTGTGTTTTACAGTGTAATTATACACCACAGTGGTAAATTAAGGTTAAACTTAGTGACCTAGTTGACTTATAGTTATATATAGTAGCAACAGGACATAATAAGTTACAGTATTGATGTAGTTACCGTATTTACATAATTAAGGTTTAATGAGGTCAACATTATTATAAATATTGTTGTTTATTTGTTTTAGAGACAGGCCATGATTTCTAATTTCACTTTTTACTATAATTCTATTTATATACAGGTGTATATATATATTCTATATATTCTATTATAATTTTTATCGAGAAACTGTCTGTTAAACAAAGATGTTTCACAATAAAAGCCGTCTAGTGGCTCAAAGGTTGAATCTGTCCAGTTGCTGGCAGGCAAACGTGCAGGAATTGTTGAGTTTACAACTTTAATGGTAAATTAAGTGATTTGAATCAATCACTGAATGAAAACAGTGTATCTGTTAATAAATAGAGAAACAGTGCAGGGGATTGGTGATTTGTCAGAGCTATTATTTTCAGCCTTTATTTGAATACCAGCTTCTATTTGGGAATAGTATACAAACCAGATTGATTCAGTTCAAGTTTTCTTAGTATCTAAATCCTTCCATCCATCCATTTTCTGCTGATTGTGGCGGTAGCAAGCTAAGAAAAGTAGTCCAGATACATTTCTCTCCCCAGTTGAGCCCTTCAGCTCCTCCTGGAGGATCCGGAGGTGAATTCCAGGTCAGACAGGACATATAATCCCTCCAGCCTGATCAGGGTCTGCCCTGCGGTTGACGCTCCCAGAATACCTCCACAGGGAGGCATCCAGCGGGCATCCTGATCAAATGCCTGAACAACTGGGTCCCTTCAATGTGAAGGAACATTGAGCTCCTTAAAGGGAGAGTTCAGGGTTTATGAAGTGGGGTTGTATGAGGAACTTATTCACAGTCAGTGTATTACCCAAGTGGACGACGGTTTATAATATTTTCATGGCTTTACTTTGCTGCCAGACAGCCCTTCCTGACGGGAAACAGAATATTGGTCTCCAAAGCAACCAGACTCCTTTCACAAAACCAGTAATTTAACCTCGCAGCACACAGGAGTCGCTGGTCTCCCGCAGCAACCAAATCACACAATAACACAAAGAAACTTACCGATCGAGGCAGCTGATGAACACATTAATACATCAGTAATCATAATACAATAATATAATGTAGGTTGTTCTATAATGACCCATTCTGCATAATGCCTCTTTAACTTTTAGTACTTTACTTTATACTTGAACTTTATATCACCAAGACAAACAGTTAAACTTTGTATTTCTAGAAATAACTTTTAGGTTTTCCTAATTCGGCCCATTAACTTGTCACGTGTTCGATACCTGCAGATAAAGGAGTGTAACGAGGAGGAGCGAGGGAGGGGCTACCTGGTGTCCTGTCTGGTGGATCACCGTGGCAACATCAGCGAGTACCAGTGTAACCAGTACATCACCAAGATGACCAGTATCATCTTCAGCGACTACAGACTGATCTGCGGCTTCATGGACAAATGTAAAGAAGACATCAACACCCTGCACTGCGGCAGCATCAACATAGGACACAAGGTGTGTGTGTGTGTGTGTGTGTCGGTCGTTCTCTGATTGTTCAACATCTCCTGGCTGATGACCTTTGACCTCTTCCAGTCAACGCTGGTTTTGCCTGTCACATGCAATGTCACACCTCCCTCTCTTTCCTCGTCCGCCTTCATTTTCCCTCCAGGACGTTCACTCGCAGGGTGAAGTGATCGCCTGTCTGGAGAAAGCGTTGGTGAGGGAGGCGGAGCAGCAGGATCACGTTCGACCAATCAAAGAGGAGTGTCAGAGGGCAATCCTGCGGGTGGCGGAGCTGTCGTCAGACGACTTTCACCTCGACCGCCACCTTTACTTCTCCTGCCGAGATGACCGCGAGAGATTCTGTCAGAACGTGAGCTTCTGATTCCTGCTGGATTTTACACTTTGAACCCCAATAATGATGATAATAATCATTTCAATATGGTTTGAATGTTTGTGTTAGTTCTTCAAAGTCTATATCATCCATTCATTAAAGTCTCTTTGGTTCCTCCTCTCCACAGACTCAGGCAGGAGAAGGGAAAGTCTACAAGTGTCTGTTTAATCACAAGTTTGAAGAGGCCATGTCAGAAAAGGTATGACCGACTCAGTATCTCACCCCACGGGGGGCGGGGCGGATTAAGAGGGCATAATTACTAAATTCTTTCTACTTTCCACAGTGCCGGGACGCTCTGACCACCCGTCAGAAGCTGATCTCTCAGGACTACAGAGTCAGTTACTCTCTGGCTAAAGCCTGTAAGCTGGACCTGAGGAAGCAGCGCTGCAGCCTGGACACCAACCTGCCACGAGCCCGCGAGGCTCGCCTGTCGTACCTGCTGCTGTGTCTGGAGGCTGCTGTGCACCGCGGTGAGTAGGGGGATGGGGTGAGATGGGATTTACACCTCTTTTGCCTGAAATATCAATCAATATCCTGCAGTAGTTTTATGGAGGGGACTTGGACTAAGCCGTGCAATGCATCCTTACATTATCTTAAACCTCCTGCCTGATTGCAGTAGAGTACCACAAGGTCCATTAAACTATCATACTATCATAAACTCTCATAATAGAGAGCAGATAGAAAAAGTTAGCAGCTAGCTGATGAGGAAAATGAAACATTTAGCAGCTAAAGAAAAAGATATTTTCTTCAGGAGTTGGTGGAGACCAAAACAGAGTTAAAAAGAGGGTAGATACTGCTCTGTCACCCCCAAGTGGCCAAAAATAAATAAATCAATGCAATTTAAGAAAGTTGCATTAATACATGTCAAATATGGAGGAAATATGTGTCTCCTTTGTGCCATCAGGGCTCAGCGTTGTCAGTAATAACCAGATCTTGTGCTGTGCAGGTCGTCCCGTCAGCGGCGAGTGTCAGGGGGAGATGCTGGACTACCGGCGGATGCTGATGGAGGATTTCTCTCTGAGTCCGGAGATCGTGCTGCACTGCCGGACGGAGATCGAGGCTCACTGCTCCGGCCTGCATCGCAAAGGCCGCACACTGCACTGCCTGATGAGAATTGGACGCGGCGACCGCAGCACCACCGTCGACAGCGTCTGCCAGAGCGCCGTAAGACCACCGCGGTTACTGTCGCTGTGATGCGTCAGTGTTAAAGAGACGTCTGAGAGTCACTAAATAATAACCTGAGTTATTATAGCGCCAGTTTTTATTAGGATTGTTACATTCAGTTTTTTTTAAAGGCTGTTTGAAGTCCTACAAAAACTTAATTTAAAGCCTTAACAGCTCTTTTTTTTTTACATGTTTCAGCCTAATACAGCGACTAAGTTGGACTTGCTGCTTTCTAGCAAAAATACTAATGAAAATAAAATATGTTTTTGCTGTGCAAACTTACATTATTTAATATAAACTAACATTTCTGATGCTCTTATTAATCGAAGTCTGTGGAGATTTGACATGTTGTTTCTCAATGAATTAAATGTAAAACTATAAATAAAATGGAGCTGCTGACATTCAATTTTTCTAAACTTTGTTTCCGCTGCAGCTGCAGACGTTGATCCAGTCTGCCGACCCCGGAGCCGACTACCGGATCGACCGGGCGCTCAACGAGGCCTGCGAGTCCGTCATCCAGACCGCCTGCAAACACATCCGCAACGGAGACCCAATGTGAGCTGGTTACACACAGATAACCAGTTGATCCCATTGTTCTTTAACCTCATTAACATGAGTGTGACAACAAATGATTAGTTTTTGTCCCTAATAGACACTGGTTCATTATCCGATGTGTGTGTGTGTGTAGGATCCTATCGTGCCTGATGGAGCACCTGTACACAGAGAAGATGGTGGAGGACTGTGAGCACCGACTGTTGGAGCTGCAGTATTTCATTTCCAGAGACTGGAAGTGAGTCTGCTCTCAGTTCTTAATATTATTAATATTTAATATTCTGCAAATACAACAACAATAAACAGGTAATAACACTGAAGGTTCCACTTACTTGCTTTTTCCAAAGTCTTCATCACCGTATGGAGATAGTTGTCATCACATGACCTAAGTATGGGCTTTGTATGTAAGCACAGCGTTCAGTGTTTAGACGTGAGAAGTGTGTGTCAGTGTCAGTGTGTATTACGAGTTGTGCTTATTGAAACTTTGTTGTGATAATTCAGTCCCACCCCTTTTTGCTCTGTGGTCAAATAACAGTTGAACAACTTTTTCTTTTCACATTTTCCACAGAGCAAACAGTTTCTCTCTCTGATACGTTTTTATTAATTAGAGAATCACACATTAGCGAACTTGAGTCTACATGAAACTGCATGAGTCGCACTAATAATATCGTTACACTACATATACACGCACACACAACACAAACTACAATATAATACAACACTATTATTAACAATATAAACACTGTAATGATGACAATGGTTCAAGAACGTCGTGTAGCTTTGACTTTTTTCCATTTTCCAAGCTTTGTTTTTTGCTCCTAATCAAATGTTTTATGGTTACGAGTCAGCTCATAGTTGGATATAAGGATTATATTCATATATAAGGATTTTCTGAAACATCAGCGGAGTAAATTAATGGGAAATTCACTTTTGGAACCGGAGCAATTAAAAAAGTGGGCGGTGACTACAGAGTAAAAAGGGGCAGGGCTTAGGAAGGGTCAGTTATGAGAGTGAACACTTCCCAGACTTCCCAGTCCCCCAGCATTAGAGTTCATTTCCCACAGATTATTAGAACCATGTGAAAATGATTATTTGGGTCATGAGATTAATCTCCAGATGAAAACAGAAGAGTTTCCTCTGACTTTAGTCTTAGAACATTGGCATGAATCCTAAAATTATGACTTCATATCGTTTGTTTTCACGTGGCTCTAAAGCTTTTCTATACAAAAAGTCGTTTTATGGCCGTGGTCTAACACAAATCCCTCTCTTTGTCTCCCAGACTGGACCCCATCCTGTATAAGAAGTGTCAGGGCGACGCTGCTCGACTGTGTCACACACACGGCTGGAACGAGACCAGCGAGCTGATGCCGCCGGGCGCCGTCTTCTCCTGCCTGTACCGCCACGCCTACCGCACCGAGGAGCAGGGACGCCGGGTACGAAACGCACACTCTGATTTCTAACGCTGGAGAGGTTTTCATGTGATCAGTATACAGGATGGTGTGTTTGAACGTCAGAGACTACCTGAGTATTGTGGGACTCTCTGGTACCAGGATCAGCAGGTGTAACTCTGATGTTTTTTAATTTACCAGGTGAACCCAGACGGGCAGGTAAGTGGTCGGTGGCTCACCTAAATCAATCAGTATTGATCCTGGTGAAGGGTTCAGTTGATAATGATGATGGCAATAATTAATCCATGTCTGTCAGTCACTGATAGGCTGGGGTGTGTTTGTGTGACTTCCTGCTCCACAGCGAGGCAGAGCAGCGGCTGTTTGTCACTTTGGTTGCTTAAATATACAACGGCTTAACAACTACGGCAACTAAAATTACTCATTTAATTTTGGTGGAAATTGAATTGGCCATAAAAGCACATTTTCATGTAATAGCTTATTAACAGCCGTGCTAGCAGCTCCATTAACGCTAACATGCTGAAGTTAAGCAGGTATAATGTTTACCTTCATTACCACCATTTAAGTTTGGTCTGCTAAATAGTACAATTATTTATTAAGTACAGCTGGACTAGAATTAAAACTTTGACCGGGTGGTAATGCTAGAGGACAACTCCACACCAGATGTGCTGTAATTATAATAGTAATAATAATAATAATACACTTTTAGCACAAAAACTTAAAAATGAAAATAGTAGACAATTTGAAGTTGGAATGTTAAAATATGTTTAAAAAGAGGTGGAAAGAACAACAATTGTTCTCCTCTGCCTCCCTCCACATTTTCAGACCACATCCCTGCTAGCACTTACTGGCATCTCAATTTTAAAGAAAGAAATAAGTACTTGCACTGTGGCACTGAACGCAGCTTGAGGTGTTTGTTTTAGAGGGCTGCTTGGTGATTGTAATGTCTGACTGGCCCTGATATACATGTAATCAGCGTTTCTCCACACTAGGCAATGAGTAGGAAAGTCCACTTGGCCCTGATTTTGGTAATTACACTCATCAGGGAGGAGACCCTCGACAGCTTGGTTTGATATGATTATGTGGTCTCAGTAATCATTGTGTGAGTTCAGACCTCGAGAGCGAGCACATTTTTGGAAAGAGGGGACATTTTAGTTAGTTCACACTTCCTCAAAGAGCTGTTTAAGACGAGGTTTTATGTTTGAGTTCAGAGTTCATTTGGTTATGAGGTGCAGCTAAAGGTTGTTTTATGTTTTTAAAAGTTGGTTTTGTGAAGTTTGAAAATTAAATTAATGCAACTGTATGCATATAATCTGGGTTTAATTAACAATAAACTTGGGCTGACTGGAGTTATCCATATTTGTGCTGCAACTAATGATTGTTTTCAATCAATCTTTTAAATGAATCATTTGATCAATAAAGGAAACAGTGAAAAATCAGCTTTCCTAGAGTTTCCTAGAACCTAACTCCTGTTGCCACAAGGCTTGTTTTGATTGAAGATATTCAGTTTACTGTTGTTAAAACAAAAGTTTGACATATTTGCTTCACAAAATGACGATTAATTGATGATCAAAACCCCTGCCAATTAATTTTCTGTCAATGGACTAATGGTTTGAGCTCTGTGTTTATTTACTTTCTCAGTAACTACTGTATTATTTGTGCCAAGTCGGATCTATCAGAGCTGTCAGCAAAGGTTTCCCTGCAGTAATTACAGTGTGACTTGTTGACATGATGATGTTAATGTTAATAACACGTTGTAAACTGGTAATTACAGTAACTCTAAATGCAGCTCCTCACAAAAATAGAAGTAAACAACATATTATTGGTCACAAATTTCAGGAATCCTCATCAGAAATGTTTGTTTATGTCAAACAAATATTGGCTTATATATTGTTATCAAATCCACTCTCTAAAATATTAACATTGGTCTTAACACTTCAGTATCATCATCGAGGTCTAGTATAAGCTTATGTGTGTGTGTGTGTGTGTGTGTGTGCGCGCAGTTATCTCGGGACTGTAAAGTCGAGGTTCAGAGGATTCTCCACCAGAGGGCGCTGGATGTGAAGTTGGACCCTGAGCTGCAGAAACGCTGCATGACCGACCTCGGCAAGTGGTGCAGCGAGAAGACGGACACTGGACAGGTGAGACGGACACACTCTGTTACTACTGCTGATACCTGCCACTACAGCCACTACTTTAACCCTGTGACTGATGTTTGAGCGCCCTCTGTTGGTTGTTTGGTTCACCAAAACGGCTCCTAACCTCACATGGTTGAATGAATCCATTTAAATGTAAATAATAATTAATCACGTGTCTCTTTGCTGTGTTCAGGAGCTGGAGTGTCTGCAGGATCACCTGGAGGATCTGGTGTCTGCCTGCAGGGAAGTCGTGGGCAATCTGACGGAGCTGGAGTCAGAGGTTAGAGGTTGTTAATAAGAAGTAGAAACCAGCATTAATGCTTACTGAGCAGCTAAAGTGTTGGTAGGAATGTTTCTCTGTCTCACCTGCACATTTTGCACTCTGTGTCTCTGTCTCACTGTTTGCTGCAGGACATCCAGATTGACGCTCTGCTCATCAGAGCCTGTGAACCCGTCACCCAGGCGCACTGCCACGTGAGTACATGCAAGCAAACATGAACAGGGCTGCACAAAATGAAGCAAAACACCTGGTACGGTTGTTTGTGAATGTGAATGTGAATCAGGTTTATTGCCCAGTGGCTTTTTACATACAGACAGCATAACAGGCACATAGAAAGAGACAAGAACAGACAGTCAGGAATCATAGATATTTAATCTCACACTGATTATTTTTATGTATTTACTGATCTGTGGTAATTTTTTGACTACCTGCCAAGGGACAACAGAGGCAAATTAACTTATAGCTCTGGTGCAATTACTGTCCCAAATTTGAAAGAATTCTACTATATAAAATCTGAAATATACAGCATGTATAATATGCGAAATGTAGAACTGTACAGTGTTTGAAAAGAAGAGGAGGGACTGCAAATGTTCACAGTACAAAGAAAATGTTCAAATTCATAATAAAAAGCTCATAAAGTTGATTCTATTAGATGATTTGTTCCTGTTGTTAGAGAGGTTACAGTCATCTTTAACACCATTCATGGACGAAACATTAAATCATTTGCTTCATTAACAATGCTTATTTATGGTCACCAGCAATGATCCCTAATTTATTTACTTACTTTGATCCATAAGGGAGGATGTCAGGAACTAGAAATAGAGGTCTAGGACTTCCTCAATAGATCCTCATTAGACCACAAATCTGCTCTGAGTAATTAGTTTTATTTTATTTTATAAAGATAATAAAGTTTTTATAGTTAATCAATGATCAAACTAGGGTCACTATAAATTCCAATCAACCCAACCCAAACTCTGTTTCTTACCTTATTGTTCCAGTTTCCCAAAAGTGTGATAAACATTAAAATATTTGATTCCTCTTTTTGCTGTGGACCCCCTACAACTCACCCAAGGACCCATTTGGACCCCAGTTTAAAAAACCAGAATAGTCATTCTGCTAAAATGTCAATTTATGATCTAATAATATTTAATAATACAACTGTTAAAAATTCCCCCAAATGATTTTAGTGACTTATCCTCAAGTGTGACTAATCAGATAAAGATAATTAAGTAAAAAATTCATCTGTGTGTATCTTTGGTGGTGTGTGTGTGTGTGTGTGTGTGTGTGCTGTGTGCTGTGTGGTGTGCGGATGTAAGGCTGATAACCAGAATCGCATACAGGTGATCTGGGAGGAGTGTTTTGGTTCAGAATAAACAGCCAGAAGGAGATGAACGAGAAGTGCACAGGTCGGCGTCACACACTTCCCAGGCTGGCAGTTACCATGACGACACCCGTCTCTCTTCTCTCTCTGTACACTCTTATTAAATTCATGTTCATTCATTTTTCTAGTTTTACTGTAAGCACTTTTATTAATTAAAGAGTTAGTGTCAGACTAACGTCAGTTTTTATGTTCACATAACTCATTAAATCCAAATGATCCTCCCAGGGCTGTAACTGTTTTCATTATCGATTAATCTGCAGATCATTTCCTAGATTAATCGATAAATATCATAAAATGTGAGAAAATAGTGAAATAGGTCCGAGGGGATGTCTTTAAATGTCTTGTTTTGTCAGTTCAAAACAAAAGATGTTCAGTTTTATACAAAATAAAACACAGAAAAGCAGGAAACCTTCAACTAATCATTGAAATCTTTATATGTGTCTCTTAACCCTTTTGTTGCCTCACTCTATGGAGTCCTGTTTGTTAGTTTTGTTAAATATCAGGATATCTTCTTATATTTCTATTCATTTAAAGGATTCTTGCATTCTCTGTGTGTTTCTGGGATGTTCTGTGTTTCTCTCTGTCAATCACAGACTTTTGCCTGATCTTTCCCAAAGTGTTTCACATTAGATTAGAGCTACGTTTAGTGTAACATTAGTGGTTTTTATTTCTGCTGTTCCTATGAAAGTACCATCTGAAACAGCTGACTGTACTCAGAGTAATCTTTGTTGCCTACGGCTCACCGAAACAAGACAGCAGTTGGTAAAACAAGGACATAGACAAGGTCAGGTTACATATTCAGAAACAGTTCATGTCACAGTTGTTCTCTCATGTGACACTTTAATAGTTCCCTCAGTGATATTGAATTGTTCCAGCAGGTCAAAAGAGAGAAAAATAAAAAAAAATTAAGGAGACAGATGACACTGTTTTGCTGTGGCAATATGAGCAACATCAATAAACATCAATAAATGTCCCTGTGCTTTCAGATTCAAATGAAGGATTTCCGGTTCTCCTATAAGTTCAAGATGGCCTGTAAGGAGGACGTTCTCCGCTTGTGTCCAAACATCAAGAAAAAGTGAGTTCACATTTCCATGAAAAGATCCAGACAACTGCGTCCAGTTGATGTGATGTAATCGGACATTATTCACACCTTCCGTCTCCATCAACCTGCAGGGTGGATGTCGTCATCTGTCTGAGCACCACGGTGAGGAACGACACGCTGCAGGAGGCCAAGGAGCAGCGGGTTTCACTCAAATGTCGTAAACAGCTGCGGGTGGAGGAGCTGGAGATGGTACCTCACGCACACTCACACACACACTCTCTCTCACACACTCCACACACAAGCACTCCTACACACTTCACACACACACTCACACAACACCACACACACGACACACAACACACACACACACACACACAAATACAATACCTCATAATACATCAGAATGACTCAAAATGACAAGTGTTCTGTTTAGTTTGCTGGTAAACTTTCAAGCTTTAATGTAACATCATGAAACTTTGTAGCTACAGGTTTGTTAAAAAACATACTTTTCTCCTCTCATTCACTCTCAGTCAGAGGATATTCGCTTGGAACCAGAGCTGTATGATCCCTGTAAGTCCGACATCAGCCGTCTGTGTCCCAACGTGGCGTTTGGTAACGCTCAGGTACGAAGCATCAGATTCAAAACATTAAAAACATTATCATCAGATGGTTTGGGCACATGGATTCTCTCTCCTCCTCATATTGTTGTTCCCCTCTTTTTCCCCTGTTTTCTCCTCCCTCTGCCTCCCCCTCTGCTGCCCCTCAGATGATCGAGTGTCTGAAGGAGCAGAAGAAGCAGCTCAGTCAGCGCTGCCACCAGCGGATCTTCAGGCTGCAGGAGGTGGGATGACCGACCCCCCGAGCCTCGATTACCACGCTGGATGGGAGTCTGCAAGCAGATGATCAAGGTGACAAGGAAGAAAGGAGGGGGAGATTTTGTATTTGAAGGGTTGATTGTTTGCTTGATTTAGTTTGTGTATAGCGTGTTCAAAAAGATAATTCTGATTTCATACAACTTTGGTCTTATATTTGCTATTGTATTGGTAACTGTGTACTCACAGCAGTATTACAGCAGTATTCTCGAAACTAACATGAAGAAATAGGCATCAGACTGTAAACAAACCCATCGGTTATGCAACATGTTTTTTTATGTAAAATATAAATCTGAAAAGTAACCATTGCTGTCAGATAAATGTAGTGGAGTTACCATAATTCTGCACACAGTTTTCCTTTGCCAAGAGGGACTATAAGCTACATTTCTGGTGCTCTCGCTTTCAGTTGTACCTCCAAATAATGTTGCTTTAGTTAATCTGGTTAAACTGTTTTTGTTGTAGCGATTCCCAGACCTCACTGGTTGTAATACATTTAAATGATCCTTTTAAGCAGTGTTGGTTATTGATGGAGGAATTACAAACTCTCTCCTGCAGCGGTTCTGTACTGAAGCGGACGCCAGGAACGTCCTTCAGTGTCTGAAACAGAACAAGAACAGCGAGCTGATGGATCCCAAGTGTAAACAGATGATCACCAAGAGACAGATCACACAGAACACAGGTCAGTAAAGAATCTCCAGTCTGCTAATCTGACTCAACGTGATCCTGTTCACCTCTCTGACACCCCCTCTCCACCCTCCTCTTCCTCCTCCAGACTACAGGCTGAACCCGGTGTTAAGAAAAGCTTGCCGAGCTGACATCCCAAAGTTCTGCCAGCCAATCCTGAACAAGGCGAGCGAGGACAGTGAGCTGGAGGGTCAGGTCATCACCTGCCTCAAACTCAAATACGCCGACCAGGTCAGTTCACAACTACACAACCAGCTTCCTAAAACCCCTGGAGGAGACTGCAGCGATATAAAAACTCTAACTAACACTTCGACAAGAAATAAAACATAATAAACAAAAGGGACACAACAGTAAAAGGGTAAAAAAAAGGGCATCAGTCATAGTTGTTGTTGTTGTTAAATTGTGTGTTTTCTGACTGGGGTTTGGTTCAGAGGTTGTCGCCAGACTGTGAAGACCAGATCAGAGTGATTCTCCAGGAGTCGGCGCTCGACTACAGACTGGACCCACAGCTGCAGATGCACTGCTCAGATGAGGTACACACACACACACACACACACACACACACACACATTTTAGATCTCTACATCAAACTAACTCAATCTTTTCATCAACTGTGACTCTCCTGCAGATCTCCAGGTTGTGTGCGGAGGAGGCAGCAGCTCAGGAGCAGACCGGTCAGGTAGAAGAGTGTCTGAAGGTCAACTTACTGAAAATCAAACAGGACGGCTGTAAAAAGGTAAATGTAATTGCCTGACTCCATGTGAATGCAGTATAAATCCCTCACACTGGTCCTTTAAAATGTCTCTAGGCCATTTAAATTTCCTTTAAATTCTGTGACTGCAAAGTGACTCCACTGCTTGACTCACAGGGGAATCAGTAGAAATCAGCCACAGTCGCAGATACTTCTGCATTCGTGCTTTCTTATTTCTTTTCTTCTTTTTTCTGCCTTGTTTGCAGGAAGTCCTCAACATGCTTAAGGAGAGTAAGGCAGACATCTTTGTGGACCCGGTCCTCCACACAGCCTGCGCTCTGGACCTCAAACACCACTGTGCTGCCATCACACCTGGCAGAGGACGACGTATATACTTTTTTATTTTAGTTTTTGTGGATTAGTTTTAAGATGATAAGATAATTAAGACTAATCTGTCACTTTCAACCAATATTGTTGATAGAGGCTTTTTCACTGCCACTGTGTGTGTCAATGTCCTCATTTGTTGCTCCCTCTCACCATCCAGAGATGTCGTGTCTGATGGAGGCGTTACAGGACAAGAGAGTCCGCCTGCAGCCGGAGTGCAAGAAAAGACTTCAAGATCGCATCGACATGTGGAGCTACGCTGCAAAGGTAAAGCCTGATGCTTAGTTTAGCATAAGCTCTGGAAACAGAGTAAAGCCACCCTGGTTTTCTCAAAATACTCTTACAATACCTCTAAATGTTGTATCTCATTAGTTTACTCACAAACAGAAATGTTCAAATGACAAGTTATTGTTTTCTGGGGAGTTGGGTGCTTGTTATTGCCACCAAGTTTTCAAATAACTAAACTAGAGATTGAGACCATAAACTCATCAGGAAACTGTTTACTGAGCAAATGAACCAACTGACAAGTCGACTAATTTCTCCATAAGACTGAATGGTATCTGTGTGTTATTGCAACCAATACCTAGAATGCAGGTTTAAGACACGTAACAGACCCCAAAGCTCTGTGCATTATATACACTGTCAGTGGTGACTGGCTGATGCTGTTTGCTACATCAGTAACCTTCCTCTCCGTCCTGCAGGTGGCGCCGGCAGAGGGTTTCTCAGACCTGGCCGTGCAGGTGATGATATCGCCCTCCAAGAACTACATCCTGTTAATGATCGCACTGAGCGTGTGCGTCCTCTTCCTCGTGGGGCTGCTGTGCGGGCGGATCACCAAGCGAGTGACGAGAGAACTGAAGGACCGGTAGAGGGCGAGCGCTCGGACACATCGTGAAAGACTGACTCCTTCCTCCTCTTCCTCCTCTTNNTTCACCTTCATCTTCATCTTCATCTTCATCATGTTTAATTATTCACTCTGTTAGAAACAATAACATCTCCTCCTCTTCATCTCTTCCTCTCCTCCTCCTCCTCCTCCTCCTCCTCTCTCAGATGCCCGGTCTGTAACCAGCCAACCTGCACAGTGCCAACGCCAGTACCCACATCTGGAACTCCTCTGTTTATTGGCTGCTGCTGAATATTTGCATCAGATGCAAAACGCCCCCCGACTCTCACGAAAACCTTAGATCTCCATTTGGGCTTCTCCAAACTGACTGTCTGATTGGAGCGTTTTTTCCCTTGATGATCGTATCTTTCTCCCAACAAATCTGCTTTTGCCGAGGACTTCGTTTGGGGTCGGATGTCAGGTCGTCCGGCATCTTTTAAGTTTCTAAATAAGCGCTGTTAATGATGTGACTGAGGGCTGCTGCTTCTGAGGTTAGGATTGCTTTCCACTCGTTGAGTCCTGATGCTTTTTGTGATATTTAAGACTGGAGCATGTAGAGCAACAGGACTTTGTTTCTTTTTAAGTGACTGCGGCTGCCTGAATCGCACACGGAGCAACTTTAAATCTTGAGGCAAAACCTTTGCGTTGAATTCTGTGATGTTTGAACATTTTTCTTCATCCCGTCCCGTCCCGATCGCGTCTAGCTCACCAGGTACGACTCTCTACATTTGGACCAGTTCAGCCACAAGTTTTTGATTCTTCCGGATACTTTCACCATGACCTGTGTAGTCCCAAATCCCTGTTCTCTGTTGCCTTTAATGAACCAACACAATCTATCACATAACACACAGAGGCTTCATTTTATAACTGTACGACCTGCCAGCGCACAAACATGCGCCGTTGTCTTTCTGTTGTGAGGGAGGAAGTGATTAATACAGATAAAGCATCTAAACACAAGACTCATGTAAAAACAGCTGTTTTTCTCTGCATAGGGAGTTCCTTTTTTTGCAAATGACTTGTGTATCGATGGCATGCGAGACGTAAGCCCACACTACTTCGATGTTTAAAGTCATATCGTACATTTACACTCAAAACATGCATGTAAACATACAGTAGATCAGACATGAGCCAAAACATCGTCTGAAAATGGGCACAAACAAGACTGAGGTAATCTTTTCAAACAGGGTCCGTAGATAATAGCTGCTTCTCTTAGGCTCTTAGCCTAGCTTAGCATAAAGACGGAGACTCACCCCCGTACAGTTGTCATAAACAGGAAATTTGGCTATAAAGAGTTGAGCATTTTAATATGGGGCCTTTATGGACATTGACTCACTTCTGTAGTCAGCCTCAAGTGGCCGTTAGAGGAACTGCAGTTTTTGTTACGTCAGTGTCGGCTTCATTAGCCAGTCACAGAGGTTTCTGCTTGGATAAAACGTGTTAATCAGTGATCTTTTAGAGGTGTATTTTTAACTCTGGACAGAGCCAGGCTAGCTGTTTCCACCTGCTTCCAGTCTTTATGCTAAGCTAAGCTAATCACCCCCTTGGCTCCAGCTCCTATAAACGTGTCCAGCACCAAACGGCTTGTTCTGCTGCCCCCAAGTAGCCAAAAAAAAAATCTATTAAAGCAGCTTTAAGTGTTTTTGACTGCAGCAGGGAGGGCCTGAGGGCCACAGTGGGAGACAGCAGAGGAAAAATAAAGTGCAGCCGTCATGGTGAACTGGACTGATCAAGGTTTCATAAGACTGATTGTGATATTATTATTATTAATTATCTGATTCAGATTATTCAGTTTTATTTATACATGTGTATCACCTGAAGCTTGAGCTGACTAATATCAGATACATTGTAACTTCCATAATAAACGTATGTGACGCATACAAGCAAAATATCTGCACGGGGTCACCTTTTACCAGGTGACATGAGACGATCACTAGGAATGCATCAAATAGTAATATTAAAGGAAACTTATAAAGGATGTTTGGCTTCATCAGTCCCTCCAGGAAGTTGCAATGTCGTCGCATCAGTTAACGCAAATTCAACCAATCCCTGCAACTTTTCCACAAATTTGACCAATCATCACTCACAGCAAAACACTGAGCCAAACATCACTGGAACAAGTTGCCTTCAATTTTTAATGAATTATACAATAAAGTAGCAACTATTTTTTCACTTTCTCATCCAATTTAATCGCAAAATAATTCCTAAAAACATTTCAACATGCGTCACACGAAGAAAAGCTTCCATGAAATCAGGCATTATATATTTTTATCTAAATGGGACCATAATTTACTAAATAAATATCATGCTGTATGGAAAAAGACTGAAACTAGAGATTGAGACCATAAACTCATTAGGAAACTATTAATGAGCTAATAAAGTGAGAAGTTGGGTCATTTTTTGATAAGACCAATGAAAGCCTGTCAGATCCTGGAGGGACTGCTTAATGCTGACATTTTTCATCCAGGTAGAAAAGAATCGCTCAGTATTTTACAGACATTCAAGCCATAAACTTATTGTTGCTTTTGTTTCAGGCTACTTTAATTGTAACTAAAGAGATTTTTTTTCTTCTGATTGATGAATATTTTATTTTGCACTTTAACTTGATCACATCTGCCGTGCATTGAAGTGCTTGTTTGTTCGCTGACATGAGCTGACTGGACAATGAGCCTCATTCATCTCATTCACATGTAAAAAGATGTCTAAAAAAAAAAGTAACCACACCTTTCTTTTAGCGAATGTTTTGCAGCTTCTGGTTGTACATTAATATTTGTGAGGGAGTTAAAAGAAGCAGCATACACACGATGTTTGCTGCTCGTTCACAAATGTTAACGCCGCTGAAGTTTTAAACCATTTGTGAACATTCTCGAAGGGATTTGAGTGTGAAAAAAGAAACGTCCTCTACCTGAAAGCCGAGCCGTCGTCAGATAGAATCCAGCAGCTCGCTGCTTTGAGCTTTTCTAAATGATCTTTATCTTTCCTGTGTGTCTCTGCTGAAGTCAGGTGTTGAATCACAGTCATTTCACAGGAAATAAAGGAGATATCATAAGTTTGTACGCAAGACTCTACGTGTACAAACCTTATCAGTGTGCAGTTTTTTTCTTTTCAGATTATACCATGTAACATGAAGACGTAACTGATTTATCATTGTGAGATTTGATTTTGCTGTACAGATAAGAATTTGTCAATTTAATAAAACTGTCTGCAGATTTTCTTATCTTTGGCTTAAACTGACTTTTATTTTTTAACTATTTTGTGTCCTGGGCCTGTACTTCGTGTTCTGCTCGCTCTCTGTCTTTATAGAGAGAGGGAGAGCGAGCAGCAAAACTAATGCTGAACTTTTTTGTATATTTAACATACATGGAACACAATGACAAAGAGTTTTTACAAAACCAAAGAATTTACATTACAGAAATTGGAAACCGAAAAAAAGAAAGGGGTTGATGGGTGGGGCTGTTAGTCATAATGAGCAGTGTTGAGCACGCACATTGTGGGTGGATTGTCAGTTATGTTGTTATAATGGGTTGAGAGGAATCAGCAGTGGATGAACTGCAGGGAACGAGAGCGGGTGCTACAGAACGGGATCAGATCCTTTAGGATTAATGTGAGCTTTTCTAGGTTTTCATCATGGTCTGTTAACAAATTGAGCCAATGGTTTATTGATTGTTGAGTTAAGTTTGGTTTTCTTGTTTGGAGATTGCAAGTGAGGAGAGACCGCCTAAAAGAGAGCTGGAGGGAGAGAGTGAGGGATGCTGAGGTTGAGGATCTCAGACAGCTTTCACACGAACCCTGAGCAGAGCCAGAATGCATGGAAGAGGTTGTTTATTGCAGTGGGACCGTGTGGGCAGATGTTGCTGTCTGTGAAGCCCATGTGATACATTTTGTGAGAGTTGATGTCAGATTGATGTATACTGACGTCCATTTGTCTATGAGAGTTGTTTTTTAGGCTGAAATAAAGAGTTTATTATTATAGTATTATTATTATTATTAGTTTATTTTAGTAGAATTAAAGGAGTGAAGTTGTGGAACTCAATGATCTCTTTTAAGGTTTCTGTAGGTTGTATATGAGTTGGAAAAGGTCAAAGGTAATGAGAGAGCTAGCACTGTAAAGGTGCAGATCTTGTAATAAAAGCAGGGGAGTGAGAGGCATTAAAGTCATCATCAGTATTTGTAACCTCTGGTAACAAACAGCCTTTAAGCACCCAGATGTCTCAGTCATGTGTCTGTATTCAGAGGCTGTATGTGAATTATATTTACTTGTGGATCTTTTATCCCACCTCATGTATGTACCACCTTCAGCTTCATTTAAGGAGGAGTGTTACTGACATTATGAGAGTGAGCGAGTGGGACACTAAAACTGAAGCAGCTAAATGGAATTTCTAGAGGTTATTGGTCTGGAAGTGCTGACCTCCTGACTACAAACAACAGTTTCTCCCCCACCAGATGGCACTACTGTCATTTAAACTTACAGAGCTCAGACTCTCCACCTGCTGACTCATCTGTAAAAGTGACTTTTACAGAGCTGTCATTCAATGTCATGAGACACAGTTAAGGCTCATTATTAAAGTCTCCCAGTTGAACCATCAGTACAAAAGATTGCTAAAAAACAACTGATTAACAACAAAAAATATCTGGTTCTTTAATAAAAACCAAACTGGTGCATTTTACCAAGAAACACGTAATCATTGAGCTTAGTTCGTGCTGAATTCACCCACATTTGACCCAGAATATTTAACAGTAAATTGATTTAACCTTCTGAATGTGTTTTTCCTCAACATTGTAATCTTTATCTTCTACCCAGCAAACGTTTAAGCTTGTGATGTTTCTCGCTGAAATGCGCCTTGGGAGACGTATTTAACTTCTACCTGGAGGTTTTATTTTCACAAGCCTGTACATTTTTAATCAAAGAACCAGCAGTTGTTCATGTTTTGTCCGGACGATTCAACCGTGAGTTTCATGATGATCTGAGCTCAGTGAGTCATGTGACATTGTTGGAAACGAATGGGGCTTTTACCTCCAGAACCAGTAAGATAATATTGGAACATTTCCGCATTAAAATGTCTATAAACACTAAACCTGTGTTATATATGTTGAGTTATTTACTTACATTATCCCAAATCAGTCAAACTCAGAGAAATCAGTCAGTCAAAGTCATTTCATTCAGGTAAAGCTGCGTTCTACCGCTCGTCGTCAATGGCGTCATATCCCCTTTGCAAGGGGTTGTTGTTATCTGCCAGAAGCTGTCATACATTGACTTTATTATCCAGTTTTAGGCCACATTTTCACAATATGCTTTTTCGATCGTGGTCATTTTTAACTATAGATTTTAACCGGATGAATAATTTTAGTCATCAGATGTCTGGATCTTCAGTTATCAGAGAAACAAGCTGAGCTAACTTTAGCAGCAGCTCGGCTC